TTTCGACCAATGAAAAGTCACAGAACTAATTCAAAGTAATTTGATTGGTTAGTTTCTGTTATAGCGCTATTTCTATTGGCTTTAAAGCGAAAAGGGCTGAGCACTGGTGAGGGGCTGACTACTAGTGCCAGTACCCTATGTGTATATGATGTAGGTATAATCACGCGTCGTTGATAAACTTTTATTGTTTGATATACAGTGGAAATGTGTGACATCTATTCAGATTATAGCTTTATTTTAAGTAAAGGAATAATAATAAATAATAATAAAAAAGAAAATCAGTATTTAGTAACTTATTTGACAGTTTAAACTCTAGGCTAATCATAGATTATAGAAGATAAGATTATAATATGTGCCTGACTAGGAAAATTAAGGCTTAACATTACTTTTTATAAAATCCAATTTGTATGAAAATTTAAATGAAGATATCAATTTTCTGACCTCACCATACCATTTATATGCCCATGTTAACATGGGCTAGTGTCGGCTCATATACCCATTTACCTAACACCCTGTATTTTTGTCTCTACCTTTGACATGATCTTTATGGTTGAAGCGAATTACCTATACAATCTTCAAATTTAAATCTAAGTAATGATTTATTCAGTGAAGTTTTAAAGATACCTATTTCACCTTTACTGTACCCTTATTAAATTTGAACTTTATTGGTACTTTTGCTATATTTTTATTTAAAACCTGTTCATTGGTATAATTTTAAAATTAACATAAATCAGTTAATTTTGACATTACATAGGCAAGAAGTACGATTTACGTGTGTAAATCGTACTTCTTTTGCTGAACAATGAATGCTCAGAAATAGTTAGATGAATTTACTAGGTGCGGTAAAATTTACTAACTTTACTGTCTTCAAGAACAAGATTAAGTAATCAACGTAGTAATTATATGTTAGGTTTATTTCTAAGTGGACAGAATTTATAAATATTTTAGGATTTCATCACCATCATCGTTTCAGCCACCTAGGACATCCATTGCTGAACATAGGCTGATAGGCCTCCCCCAATGATTTCCACATCGCCCGGTTGGTAGCGGCCTGCATTCAGCGCCTTCCTGCTACCTTATGAAGTTGCACCACCTAACTTTGACCGTAACTAATATGAGGATAGCCGGTGCTTTTTGTATGGAGTTTGATAGATTGTTGATGTTTGTTATAGCTAAAGTAAGATGGTGCAACCCAGCCTAAGATTTACTTCAATCACACTCCATTAGCCAGGTAAGAGATTATCTGTAATGCACGTACTACGCCTCCTTTTTTTGTAACACAAGTTTTTATGAGTATAATTGTGCTGTCTGAGGTGTGTGTGCTAGACCAACAAAAATATGGCGTCATTATTCTAAGATACAACTTTATTAGAATCAAAAAAATATTTGACACAAAACCAACAAAACTTGCTTTGCAATTTATAGTAAACAAGTTTTACCTATTGTCAATGAAATTTTAATTTTAAAAATTATTAAGTTGTTTTAAAATTTTCGTCTGATGGACAATGACTTGAGACAATGGCTTTGCTACAAATTAAAAGATTATTAGTCTTACGCGACATTCTACAATCTTTAACAACTTAGGTAGAATAGATTTAGTCAACAAATATGACAGATAAACAATGATAAACGCTATAATTATCTTTTTAGTGCAAACTCCAAGGTCCAAGGTCAGTTGAGTTTACATAATTTACATAATAAAAACTAAATATGCCTACCTACTATTGCTAAGTACGAGTATACTTGCCATAGTCGAACTCATAGCAAGGTTAATGTCGAGGCCACCAAAAATGTTAGTCATCTGTTATGTAAGTTTGTAGAGCCGACAATGCTGTGACATCTTCATAATATAGTTCTACCTAAAAGGTGCAATTAGGTAAGATCTAGGTACATATAAAAATATAGTGCAACGTGCTGCCGACCTTTATTAACGGAGAGCTGCCGAAAGCCAGTACCATTTTTTTGTGAAAGCAGATTGTTTAAGGCATTTTCTAATAATTGAATGCAGTTTTATTTCTTTTTAAAAATAAAGGAATGTTTTCTTTGAGTAAAATTTTTTTTATCTACAGTAAGTATTAAAGAGTACTTTCCCTCCAGGTGGCATTACAAAATTTCACCCTGTATAAAGCATCTCGATATTTCTATGAGGGGGATCTAGTTATCGGGTATTGCTCGGTGTATCTGACATCAATCAATAAAATTGTAAGATAAATATACAGTGATAAGATTATTTATTTATAATTGGATAAAGACGATTATATCGATAAATTCAGTTATCCTTATAGCCAGGAACGCCATTATCATATCCTACTTAATTCCTACTAAGTATACATACATAGGTGTGAAAGTTTGAGTGCATGGATGATTAGATGTTTATTTGTTACTTCTCTTTCACATCTATTTTTTTTTACTTAAATAAAACGGCAGGGCACATAGTACGCAGAACTGACGGCCGATGGGGCAGAAAGGTTCTGGAATGGAGGCCGCGTACCGGAAAACGCAGCGTGGGACGTCCACCTACAAGGTGGACCGACGTCATCATAAAGGTAGCAGGGAAGCGCTGTGGACGCAGGCCGCTACCAATCGATCAACATGGAAAGCATTGGGGGAGGCCTATGTTCAGCAGTGGACGTCCTATGGCTGAAATGATGATAATGATGATGAAATAAAACTTTACGGTTTATAATTTTCAATAATTCGCGTGCCAAAAATAGTTACTGTTGTTAAAAAGCCGACTCCTCCATTTCAGAGCGTATTGTTTTTTGCTTTTCAACAGATTTATTTTATTTCTACATATTTATAAAGTCCTCGCTAACCTCTCCACTAAAATTACGATGTGCACAATTTTAGACACAGACAGTAGTAGAGAATTGACTTGAGACAATTGATAAAATTGATGAACTTTAGGTCTTTGGCCTCTACATGGTGATACAATTTAGATCAACACACGATGACTCATACTCAAGCAACTTTTCATGTATGTTTGCTTTGCCTTATCTTGTTCTTTGATGTCACAGCTAAATTCTCTAATTTGTGTCCCCTGCATTAGGTAACGATATTTTATTTTGACTTTAAACACTAAGTATTTATTTCAAATGGAAAAATAATGTAACATCATCATTTTTTCGTGTAGGTTGTAACAACTGAGGCTACAACATTGCTTTGATCATCATCATCATTTCAGCCACAGGACGTCCACTGCTGAACCATAGGCTCAATGATTTCCACATCGCCCGGTTGGTAGAGTTGTGCCCGTTTTCACCATCAATCCCTAATTTTTAAGTGACACCTATGAAAGCAAAATTCCTGTTATGTATTACCTTAAGGGTCACTTAAAAATTAAGAATTGATGGTGAAAACAAGCATTAGAGGCCTGCAACCTGCATCCATTGCCTTCCTATTTTCATGTTATTAGTTATTACATTTTCATCAATTTCTATCCTAATCGTATTTTCGTTTTCGGCCTATAATAGTAGATAGTCGTATTTTTAGTAATTCTGTGGAATTCTATTAATCGTCTACGATATCCTGAATTTTGTGTCCTCCTGAAAATTTTACCCAAGACATCTAAAAAAGAGTAGGTACTTACAAGTAGATAACTAAACTAATGTGGCGTAAATAATATACGAGTATGAATTTTGATATGACATAAACTTCATGTTTTACATTTCTACAAGTAAAGTTTGTTTTGGAGAAGTAAAATAATCAGAATACGGGTCAAATAGCACTGACAACTGATAGAGAGATCGACTTGAGGGTTCAGTTTGCTTACTCATGTCAGCAAACTGAACCCTCAAGTCGAGCAAGTTACTAATTAAATCTAACCATGAACTGCATCGGACGTTTATCTAGTTTGCTATCTACTAGAGTGAAGTAGGTAATTTTCCATAATAGGGTATTAAGATAGCCTAGTAGGTATTGGAAGGTTACATGCGCTGCATCTTTACTGCAGTAAAATATTTTTAAGTGCATTGCTGTGGAGTAGATATTTTTTCTAAAAGATTTTTGAACAGGGGGCGATTCTCTGACATTTTTCTATACTCTTACTTATTACAAAGCTGAAGAGTTAGTTTATTGGCTTGAAAGCGCTAATCTCGGGAACTACTGGTCCGATTTTTGTGTTAGATAGCATTTATCGAGGAAGCTTTAGGCTATTAACATCACTCTACAGCTAATAGGGGCGGAGCAGTAGGTACCTAAAGAAAACTGTTGCAAAATGGGAAATATTATTCTAACTTTTAATTGTAATTGTAATTTTATAATTATTATGTACATAGGTCTTTAGAACTTTACCTATCCTAAACGTAATCGTTTAGGATAAAATATTTATTATAGACGTTAATTTTAATCTTTTATGGACTCTACATTATTATTGATCGGCTTAGTTCTTTGATAATACTTATTATCCAGTAATCCATTCGATTAAGCAAAGATCAGCTTTCTCATAAATAAATTACATAACTACTAACATTAAAACAAGTCATAATAAATAGGTAGGTACCTAATCGTTTATTATCTCGCAAGAAGTTTTTATATTTACTTAATTAAGTTAATTGGTAATAAAAATATTATCACGAAAATAAAGGTGTTGTAGAAGTAAATATTGTATGAGTACACACCTACTTCAATAAAATATTATCAACCTACAGACTGTATTTGAATATTAATAACAAAATGTAATATGCGTGTATCTTCATTTAATTTTATTTTCCAAGAAAATTCACGAAATTATTTTTTCTGGTGACCTTTCTTTACGAAACTTTGCGGTTAACGGTCTTCGAAAGAAACAATGGTTTTAACTTTTTCTTAGACTTTTGACTTACTGCACATCTACCTTAATACGTTAGGTACACAAAAACACACAAAATAAAAAGACGAAGGGGAAAATGGACCACATCTCTATTGCACACGTTCCGTAAAAATTAAAAAAATATTACATACCTACAGCAAGTCCTTGTCTATGAAAGTGCGCTGAATGAAACAGAAAAAAAAATACTAACCAGTGCGACGAGGTTCTTGAATTTAGAAGAGTCCTTCCACATCTGATCTAAAAATCTCATGTTAGGAACCACAATATCGGGCACTGCCGATTTAATTTCGAACTCATTTTTGAGGCTGGCTGTTTGGGATAGCGGCCTTTGCCATTTTATTTTTCTGATCTGCGAAAAAAGTAAGCGCGGTGCGTTCATGATCGCGCGCGTTTTCTACGAGGTTCGGTACGGTACTGATTGTATGTGCGGATTCGGAACTTGTTTGGATGAGTGGTATTTGGTGTAGGCCGGCAAATTAAATTAGATACAATGTACGAATGATAACGCTATTGTTTCACAATGTACGCAATCAAACTGGACTTTGATAATCTTTTGGAGAGGTCAGTTCCCGCCTCTGATGTCTATTGCTTAAGATTCTTCTTTTAACATTTTTGAATGAATATAAATCGGGATAAAAATTACTTTTATTATAAAACACTAGGTCCGAGTTATTAATTTAAGTATGAGTGCTATATTATAATAAAGAGGAAAGATTTGTAATTATTGTTTGTAGCGAATAAGTACACTCAAAAACTGCTGGACCTATTTGAAAAAATATTTCGGCATTACAATTCCGAATTCCGATTTTTTTATGAGCTTAATAATGAGCAAATAGCACCATCTTACTTTAACTTTGACAAACGTCAAAAACCTGTCAAACTCCATTAAAAAAACACCGGTTAGATAACGTTAGAGTTAAGTACGGTACAAAGTTATGTGGTGCAACTCAGCCTAAGTAAGTGGTTGTAATTTTTTCATACGTAAATCAAAATTGATTCTCCAGCAATGCAAAGACTGAGAAAATACCTTACTTTTACACAAAATTTAAAACGTAACGTTTTTCCACAAGAATTTGTGAGAGATTATTATCTCTATCTCAAGCACCAATGAAATGAAATTTAAAAAAAATATTTGACAACCAGCTTTTAATACTCTAAAAAAATTACTAAAATATAAACTCTTTCAAACACATCAATTTATTACATTACTAAATTTGTATATGATAAAAAGTTTGCGATGAAAAATAACCCTACAGATATGACAAGGGCCCCGTCCACAGCAGCATTTGCCACGGGCCCCGGGTGGTATATTAGTTACTACGCTATACTAAACATTGTAGCTAACAGTAAAGATGACTTGCAATAATTATTCTTCTTTATCTTGTTCGTACTTATCTCCTTTACCTTTTACATAGGCAGGCGACGCGACGTTTTAGTTGAATCGTATGTATATCGAATTTCTAAAATACAGAATGAAAATTGTCTGAAAGTTTAAAAAATACACAGTGAAAAAGAGGAATAAAATGTAGATACTCGTATGTCAAATAATAGATCTGTAGGCCTAGGATGCGCGCCGCGATAAGCGTTTAATCACGCCATTTTATCGATTTTACGCGATATGCCCATACATTTACCGTCTAAAATCAAGATTTTATCATGGCGCGCATCCTAGCCCGGCTGGTAGGTAAAGGTCACAAGAAGCGCCTAAGATGCGAGCAGCGCAAGACTGTTTGTTGTGGAAATCCTTGGGAGACCTTTGTCCAGCAGTGGATGTTGAAACTAACGAACGAAGAAACTGTTTCTTCGTTCGTTAGTTTCAACCAAATGACATCCACTGCTGGACAAAGGTCTCCCTACACCTAACTTAATCTACCTATTCAATTTCAGGCTGTTTTAGATACAAAATTTGTGTTTCTTAGTCTCGAGGACACCCCAAATGAAGACATTAAAAATAATCTTCTTTGTCACGTAGGTACATTTTCAAATAATGAAACTACGTTTTGTTTGGGCGTTAGTCGTGATTGTCATTTTGCTGGATACACCAACAATAGGAAATGAATATCATTATTATGGCAGTAAAGACTGGCAATCATTCAAATAAAATGTCTATGAGTTAACCTATCTTTGATTGCAAAGTTAAATAATGTTAAAGATAATAAGGCACTTTAATCTCTGTTCGAGTCGATTTTCATCGGACTCATCGGATTACAAAATTACAAGTCTATTGGCACGGTTTAAAAGATATAGTTAAGCACTATAGTGAGCGCTTAAAAATTGACATTAAATGTATGACGGATTGTACAGCGCCCCTAGATGGTATAACATCAAAATATTGCCCTTTGTTTTTGTTCAGGCGTTAGACAAAATCTAATACAAAATGCCTAGGTATTTATCACCCAAATTCGTAAATGTATGTACCTAAGGTCGATACAGTTGCTATGGAATGTATCTAAGTGACCTGGAGATACTGTATTGTATTTTGTATAGTGTATTGTGTATAGGCTGGAAACGATAAGTGATCTCACTCGATTATTTCTTAACTATACAAGATATCAAAAAAACTGTTAATGATCCTGAAAATGCTTCATGAGCTCTGTATCAAATGGTATCAATAATAAGTTACAATGCAATGATGAATGTGCAATGATTACATAAATAATATAATTGGCGAGAAAAAACACTAGTTTTGTATTGAGTACCTAATCGTGACTCGTGACTTCGTGAGACTAATGAAATTTAAATAAATTAATACATGAGGTAAGTACTTAATAATTATTAGGAATGTTGCCATTTTGTGGTAACTCTGTTTTGTTTAATGTTCTTTTTATTTTTAATATGTTCTAGAGCGACCAATATGTCTTGATCACAAAATCGAATACCTACCTTTATGAAGAATTCACATCTAGTTTTACAAGAATGACAATAGAGAGCATACATAAATAATTATTATGCAAATTATTATTATTGCAAAATCACACGGATTTAAGCTAAGTAAGATGCAAAGGTGTCTAATTTGACGTGCCCCTGTCTGTTAGGTAGGTACCTACTTTTGATAAATTTGTCTAGAAACATTTATTTAAATTCAGAACAATATACAATAAAAGTAAGTCTGAAGATATTATTTATTATCACAATAACAATATTTACAACTGATATGGTAAACAATAAAATGTTATCGATATTTTACATTGTTTTATTTTTGTATCTTTTAGTCCTGTCAATAAAATTTGACCTTTTAATATATTATTTTATATTCAGCAGGACCTTCAATATAAAAAAAATGAATTATGCAAACCTACACAGTTCGCCCGATGATTTTCTAGCACATGTTTCAGGCATTAAATCCTCATAAATTAATTTAATTTGCACGTTCACATAATTAAATAAATTAGTATCTCTATAGATTTTTCAGGTCCTTCTTCAAGACCTTACCTGTAGCATTCTTCGGTATGGCATCAACAAATACAACATCTTTTATTTTCTTATAAGCTACCACTTGATCTGCTACGAATTTCTTCAGTTCCTCCGCGGTGGTCGGTTTTCGAACCACCACGTAAGCCTTCGGGGCTTCCCCTAGAAGTTTGTCTGGTACCCCTATGACTCCTACGTCGTGGACTAATGGATGAGTGCGGAGGATGTTTTCTAGTTCGGCTGGAGACACTTGCATGCCTTTGACCTGGGAAAGAATATTTTTCAACGTTAATAATGTGTTCTAAAATGTGTACAATCATTGACTATAAAGTCATACATAATTATGATATCAACTCTCATTGTTGTTACTCGTTAAATTGGTCATTCATCAATCATATTCTTATAATAATACAATCCAGTGCAGTTAACTGAAAAAAGGTAGTCGATTTTACAAAAATCCAATTAAGAAATACATTTCATAATTAATCGCTTTCAAGAGACAGTTGCCATAATAAGTAATTAACTTATTCTGACTTCTCTCGTCTGTATTAAAAATTTAATGAAAAGGGTTCTTTCTGGGTAACCCTACTTCATAGGTAGCATTTATTACAAATCCTTACCTTGATCTAACTTTCATACTATTCACTAATTTTAAAATTACCTTAATAATTTCCTTTATTCTATCCACAATGTACAGTCCTTCTCCAGGCTTGTAGACGCCCAAGTCCCCTGTTTTGTAGAAGCCATCGCTTGTCATACTATCTTTCGTTGCTTGCTCATTTTGGTAGTAACCTTTTGCTATTATCGGTGATCTGAAGCACACTTCTCCAACCTGAGAGCAGAAAAAAAAGACTTTACTTAATTTAGTAATAAATNGGTTATCTGCAATAATACCAAACAGCATGTATTCCTTTACATGTCAACAATGCAATATTCATAATTACAACAACAAGGTGTTAAATATGTTTCGCGGAATAAGTACGCAACGCTCTTTTTTAAGTTTTTCTCAAAACCTATTAAGTGTATTTTAAATATAAATACATAGGCCCCTCACAGACATTTTTAGCTATCTTTTGATGTATAACACATATTTTTAATAATGGTAATAAATTTTTAGGACAGTTTTTTTACGCTCCTGAAAAGTTGGCATTTTTCACTTGCGTACTTATTCCAGGAAGGGTGCGAAATAATAATTACTTTCACCAGCCGGGCTAGGAAGCGCGCCGTGATAAAATTTTTTCGATGATTTTAGACGAAACATGTATTGGCTTATCGCGTAAAATCGATAAAACGGCGTGATAAACGCTTATACCGCCATAGCATAGGCCTACTGGACATTTTTTCCGTGAATACACAGTGCGTTATTACAAAAAAGTTAAACGCGCGATGAACACTGGTTTAAAATGGCATTTCCATACTAAATGTCAATTTAAACTAGAGATCAACGCGGGTTTAAAGCTTCACCAAGCCAACGCGTGCAGATCGCGTCGGCGATGGCGATCACGCGCGACTAATGACAGGACGCGTCGATGTGAACTCATCGCTACAAATTCATTACGACATCTGATCGCCATCGCCAATCGCCATGGTGCACGCCGTCTGCACGCGTTGGTTTGGTTGAAGCTTAACTTATTGTAAATGTTCAATTTTTCAGTTTTATTTGTTTTTTTGTACTGTCGTCTCGTCTCGCATCCAAGCATCTCCCACGACCTTCACCAGATCGCTCGTGGTCGCCACTCGCGAGCGGCGCAGGATCGGTCTTCGTGGAAATCCTTGGGGGAGGCCTTTGTCCAGCAGTGGACGTCTTCCGGCTGAAACGACGACGACGACGATTGTCGTCTGTCAAATAATGTTCAAATGTGATTTCAGACTCAAAAAAATTTTTTTTTCATTGGCGAACACGAGTTGTGGGCAGGCCCCCATTAGGATCGATCGTTCTGGAAATCCTTGGGGTCCTTTGTCCAGCAGAAGACGTCATTTAGTTGAAACGATAATGTGATTTCTTACTTGTCCAATAGGCACAGGCGTCCCAGTGTCAGCATCGCACATCCTCAGCTCGATATTCAGGGCAGGATCGCCACAGCTATTATTGTAGTGTCTGCCGCCATTTTTGGGAGTCGCCGTACCCATGCACGTGGTTTCCGTCGTTGCATACCCTTGCCTGAACTGGGTTTTTTCCTGGAATAGGTATTCAGTTTTAGGTAATTTTCTTTGTAATATAGGTAGAGCTAAATAATCATAACACAGATTACTAATAATTCGGTCTTTTTTTTATCCACAACGAGGAAAGCTCTTGGCCTGTATCTCACCTGATGGTAAGTGACGATCAGTCCGAAGGTGGAAGCGAGCTTCACCCGTAATCCTCAACCACGGAGGAACTGGCTATCTTACCTCTAACTGCCGGAACACAATAATGCTGTTAACATTGTTGTTATGGCGACAGACTTAGGTAAGATGGTGGTAGCTTGCCAGGCGGACTTAGAACAAGCCCTACCACCAACCAAACCAAACAGAAAAATCTGCCCCCACTGGGAATCGAACCCGGGACCTCTGCGTCTGAAGCAGGTGGTTTTACCACTAGACCACAGAGGCGGTTAAATTATTCAAGGTTAGTATCTCTATAATCAATTTAAAGATGTTAATTGAAACTAACACACCTTAATCGTCAGTCACCAAAAGATTGTCGAGTTCCAGTTTACCCACGACGACCTCATAAAGGTAGCTAGCAGGTTGGCGCTGGACGCAGGCCGCTACCAACCGGTCAGTATGGAATTCATTGGGGGGAGGCCTATGTTCAGCAGTGCACGTCCTGTGGCTGAAATGATTATGATGAAGGGATATAATATTAAGAATTTGACCTTACATTTGCTTTTTGAAGAACTGCTTCAGCTGACCCTCCGGATAAAGCAGCGCCACCAGAAAATATATACTTTACATGCTCGAAATGACTCTTGTTTACTAAGGGATACTTTGCAAGGAAGTCCACTGAAAACGAAAGTTTTAGGTGGATAAAATAGGTAGGTTAGTTAATACTAACCTACCCCTGGACCACATTTATTATTATATCGCGGTAACCCGAAGATTCTTGCTATCAGTCATAGTCAAGTATTCGCGTATCTTCTGTGCTTTTTTGCATAGTCGCACGCAAGACCTCAGTCCGCCCGCTGTTGCTCGAATGCTAACGCGATGTGTGTAGCCCAGGGAATACAGAACGAATCTCAAAATTCGGATCAATTTCAAGCAAAGATTGAGGCTTTTAAACGGTTTAATTTCAATATTTATGACAAAATTTAGTGAGTGAGATAGAAACCAATTTTAAGCTATGTTTCTCCTCGATTATTACTGAAAACCTCGTGAAAAATAAACTTAAATACGAAATTCATCATAAGGGAACAAAGTTCAAAACACTTTTCTGTAACTAGGGGAAGCCCGGGCAAGAAGCATAATGTGGGTAAGAAGAATAATCGATTTTACTAAAAACCTACAACACATGGCGCTACTGGACGTTTGCGGGTCTGTAAAACAGCAACACAGCCACGCCATGATAGTTCCACCAAAACAATACGTGCGTGAACTTTTTGTCAATTCGAAATCAAAAGTTTTTGGCTGTTTTCTTACGATTTTTGGCAAGGTATGTGTGTTGATTTCTTGTATTACGTATTAAGTGTTGACTTATAGACTCTGTTTAGTTGATTGCATGTTAAATTAAGTTTAATTTGTGTGTGTTGCTTTTTTTCACCGGTAGAAATTTAACGGGTGGGTACACAACTTTTAAATATTGGTGCTTTGGGCAAGACGGATATGGGCAAAACGGATAGGTAAAGACAGCCATAACTGAATAGCAGGCCCTAACAAAACCACACATCTGAAAACAAGAACTTCCAAACAAGACTTGTCAAGAGGAAAAATGACCAAAAACAAAAATCTGATGGAGAAAACAAAATATTCATGTTGTGTGCTCAGAAGAATACACTGAACCACCTACCGAGGATTGGATAGAGTGCAATCAATGCAAGAAGTGGGCACACGAGGATTGTACCTTATATTCAGGCATAAACAGTTATTATTGTGATGATTGCAATGATTAAAGCAGTTATTACTGTACATATCCGTCTTGCCCAGGGGGGTCGGGCAAAATGGATAATTGGAACTTTTTTTTTAATGACATTTTTATTGTAGAATTTGTTTAAGTTTCTAAGTTTATTCTTTACAATTCCAAAGATGATTACCTAAGATACAAATTATTAATTAAGAGACTGTTGTTGATTGCATATTTATGTGGTTTTTTTGCCACTTTTCTTAAGTTATCCGTGCTGCCCGGGCTTCCCCTATATAACATATTCAAAATCACATTAGGTAGGTACATCAGTTGCAAAATCGCCTCTATTACAGCTGAATAAGATGCAAGTTTTTATCTTGATGTGCCGTGCTCTGTACTTACACGTGCTAATAGCAAAACGTAAATGGTATGACTTTTTATTAATTTACATTTATTTAACTGGTTAGGTATATTACATGTGACAAGTTATTGGAATTTCTGCATTTATAATACCTATATTAGGTACTAGCGGCTTGCTACGCGTGGATCCCGTTTTACCCCCTTAGGGATGGAGTTTTGTATAATCCGTTCTTAGTGAGCGAGCACCTACGTTCTAAAAGAAACATCCATGCAAAATTTGAGACCCCTAGCATTTGCAGTTTCTGAGATTTCGTGATGAGTGAGTGAGTCAGTCAGTCAGTGACCTTTCGCTTTTATAAATATAGATTGTATATTACTATAGGTACTTAAACATCAACTCACCTAATGGCGGCACAACATACAGTAAAGTAGCTTTCTCATGAGTCAATACTGTAATATAAGTAGCAGGATCAAAACTTGACATGGTTATCAGCTTAGCACCCACGGACAAATGCCCCATCAGAGTGATGACCAAACCGAATATGTGGAAGAAAGGTAGCACGCATGGTACAATCTCCTGGTCGGTACCTAGAATCAAGCAAAAATAAATTAAAATTATCTTTATTTGTATATGTTACGGTTAATGTGATAAATTGAAAATTATTAATAATAACCGGTTATTATGAATAATTACCGACAGTCGCGGTAAAAGTGATAAATTAATCACATTTAACAGTGATTATTTAATAATTCAGCCTTAGTAGGTAACAAATTTCATGAAAGAGAACAACATCTTGTGTACGTGCTCGTGTACAACCAAACTTTTGAACGTTTTGATATCATATATTAATATAATTTGGCATAATGAGTTTGGAATATTTCTTGCATAATATTACTTTTCTATGATGCCCATAACATTATGTTTTGATTTAAAGTGAAAAATAGGTTAGGGTGCGGCGGGGGTGGCCCTTGGGCCACCCCTAAGCCGCCTATTTAGTTTTATACACACATAAATGACCTCATATTAATCACATTTACCAAATCATGCGGTAATTATTCATAATTTTCACATTTATCACTTTGACCGTAACATATACACTAATTACAAATCGTCAAATGCTCTTAAGGAGCCTATACATGTCTTATCCTTTTGCCCTACCAGCGCTTCGAGACAAACATTTGGTAAGTGCTGAGAAGAAGCGCCGCAACAAACTCAGTCACCAAACAATTAACATCATCATTTCAGCCACAACACGTCCACTGCTGAACATAAGCCACCCTCAATGATCTCCATATTGACTGGTTGGTGGTGGCCAGCACCTTCCTGCTACATTTATGAGGTCGTCTGTCCACCTTATGGGTAGACGTCCCACGTTGCGCTTTCCAGTACGTGGCTTCCATTTCATGGTCTTGCTTGCTACTCCAGCAAGCAAGAGTAGAGAAAAGAAATTGAGTTCAGTGAAAACAATAGAGCTAGTTTGATCCCTGCACAATACATCTGTAAGTGTTGTTTTAAATGTGTATTTGTCTGGATATTTTGTATGTTTAAGATTTATGTAGCTAGAAAATTTTTTTAGTTCATAAGGCTCATGCTTACCATGAGTTGACGTTAGGTGATGTGCTCGCTAGCAAGTGGTAAGCATACAGATACGTACCATTAGCGATTTCAGGTAAAACAAACTCCTTATGGGTCATAATATCAAAGCTACTAATGAGATTCTTGTATGTAATCTCCACTCCTTTAGGCAGTCCGGTAGTACCACTAGAAAATGGTATCAATGCTACGTCATCGTGGTCTTTTTCAATCTTGTCCAACACTGAGTAGTCTGCTTCGCCGGATTCTGCGATTTCGGAATATCGAATAGTTCCGTCAGGAATCGATTGGGTTGGGTTATCGATTATAACGACTTTCGCATCGATTTTGGCTGCGTCCAAAGCTTTGGAGATAAACGGGTACGCCTGGGTGACGGTGACCACTAAATTTGGCTTGGTGATTGTGAATTGGTGAACTAGCTCATCTGAAAATAACAAATATTTCATATCTATTTGTATACAGTCCGTGGAGCTGATGGCCGCTGGGGCAGAAAAGTTCTCGAGTGGCGACCATGTGCCGGAAGACGTAGTGTGGGCAGGCCTCCCACTAGGTGGACCGACGATCTGGTGAAGGTCGCGGGAGGTGCCTGAATGCGGGCGGCGCAGCACCGGTCTTTGTGGAAAACCTTTGTCCAGCAGTGGACGTCTTTCGGCTGAAACGAACGAACGATATCCAATCCAGCACCGGACCATTGCGGGAAGCGTTAGTGTCAGCACACTCATAATACACCAATATATCAAAGTTTCCTGATGAAAAATAGTTATTTTCTTAGTTCATAGGTACAGTCAGCATCAAATAGTGACACCCAAACCCAAAGTAACCAATAAGTTCGCAACACGTCTTAGTTACAATTGGAATAAAGTTTTGACGCTGGCTGTACAAGGTGATTTAAACTTACAGTTCCTGTACGCAGGGTTCACAGTCGTGACCACGCAGCCTGCCTGTAAGACTCCGAAGGCTGCCACATGGTACTTCGGCCAGTTAGGCACCGCTATAGCCACGATATCTCCTGGCCGCAAGTGCAACCGCTTTAGTAGAGACGTCCCGAAGTTGGCTATGAAGCAATGAGGTACAATGTGATTTAAAAACTTACAGTTCCTGTACGCAGGGTTCACAGTCGTGACCACGCAGCCTGCCTGTAAGGCTCCGAAGGCTGCCACAGGGTACTCCGGGCAGTTAGGCACCACTATAGCCACGATATCTCCTGGCCGTAAGTGCAACCGCTTTAGTAGAGACGTCCCGAAGTTGGCTATGAAGCGATGCAGCTGAGAATATGTGTAGGATTTCTTCGTTTCTGCACTCACCTGAAAAAGAAACTATTCCTAGTAATTTCGATCACCTAACTTGTGTCATATTATGTCGTTTGCTTGCAAATAATAAAGGCACTTGCACTGAGCGATACAGTCAGCGTCAAGTAGTTCGTGGCACCTATAGTAGCCAACAAGTTTGTAACACGTCTTTATTATAATCGGAATAAGGTTGTGCTGTCAACTCTTTGGCCACTTTGAGTACCACGAACTATTTGACGCTGACTGTACACCCCGTTCTCTCTGGTCAGGCCCTGTAAAAAGTGTGGGTGTCCCAAAAGCCAAAATCTATTTGGTTTTATCCAATACCGGTTTTTAATAGAAGCGGAAACATTTGATTTAATCCGACACCTGAGAAATCAAAACTGTCTAACTCAACTAAGTGGTTGTGTCGCTACATTGCCTACATTAATCCAAACAAAAACAAAAGACAACCGAGTAAAAAAACAATAATACTTATAAGTATACACTTACCAAAGCAACTTGATCCTTGAATTGTGATGCATGGACCCACATACGATCAAAAAGTCTCATTCGCGGTACAGGTTGAAATGGAAGCGAAGATGTCACCGTGAAGTCATCCACTTTCCTCACGTTGCTTGACAAATTCCTATGCCATTTCACATAACTAAAATGTCTAAAGAGTCTTGAATTTCTAGACATATTTCCAATCCACATCTTATGGTTCTCGAAAACAGACTAATGCATATCACTGGCCTTAAATACTCAGTAACAAGACTAATTTAAATATGTATTTGCTGAAGAACATATTTTTTTACAGTAAGTAATATTTTAAAACACTGAAGATATTTGTAGGTATAATCGTAGGTACTACCTAATTTTCTATTATGAGTAAAAAATAATACAATACTTTGTCTGTCGGTCAATTTGTAGATCTTAGCTATACAGCGGTAGAAGTGGTGAGAATGAGAGGTGAAATAAGTAGTTTCATTATTATTTTTTTATATACTAAAACTTTGGAGTGGTTCTGTAATATGCATGCTTACGATTACGATAAAATTACTTAATGTGACTAGAATTTGAAAACTAGAGAAACAGACAGAAGAATGCGTGGGGTTTCATTGTTGTTGTCCGATTCAGTGTTGGTACTCTCTTGTTTGCCGCAGATCGTTTACAGTTGGTTCTGTAAGGTATCATGAAGTTCCATGTGGCCTTTGCGTTTTGTTGACACTTTCGCATTTATGTTATAAGTGGTAATTTATTAAGTATCTGTAGGGTACGTACATTGCATGTTCATTTTATTAAACTAGGATAACGGTGTTGACTATCCAATTAGTCTGTATATTTATTGAACTATCTTAAGAAAAAATATGTATTGTTCAGTTGTTTGTTTTCTTAAATAAATTAAAAAAAAAAACAATTTCCTTGCCTGTGGGGAAAAAATATAAGTATTATAATAATTGTAAGTAAAGTCGTTACTTACTTCTTCACGTCTAAACGGCTGAAACGGTTTTAATAAGGTATGGAGTTAGCTGACACCCTGGATTAACACATAGGCTTTTACCGCGGGTAGCACCGCGAGGCACAGCTAGTAATACCATATCCTATACAGGGTGGAAACGATAAGAGATCTCATTCGATTATGTCTAAACTATACAAGATATCGAAAAACTGGTTACTGATCCTGAAGGTGCTTCAAAAGCTGACCAACGGCACCAATATTAGGTTACAGAATTAACTGGATCTATCCGAAAATGTAATGTTTTCAGCCTCCATACTAAATGTGTGCCAGCCAAACAATAACAAAGGTATGATTTTTTTTATTAAATAATAAACACTTAAAATGAACTCGTAAATTGCATTCTTATTTAAAATTATTCTTGTAAAACATTGGTTTTAGGCTTTACTTGCTATAATATTAACAAGACATGTGTGCCATTCCTGCGGCTGTATTAAATGTATGGAAGCTGGAAACATTGAATTTTCGAATGGATCCAGTTTATTTTGTAACCTATTATTAGTACCGTTGGATAGAGCTCGTGGACCACTTTCAGGATCAGTAACCAGTTTTTGAATATCTTATGTAGTTTTTTAATATTATGTGGTGTTACTAAATGTATGGAAGCTGGAAACATTGAATTTTCGGATAGATCCAGATTATTCTGTAACCTATTATTGACACCGTTTGAAAGAGCTTGTGAAGCACTTTCAGAATCAGTAATCAGTTTTTCGATATCTTGTATAGTTTAGAAATAATCGAGTGAGATCACTTAACGTTTCCACCCTGTATACAACACATACCTATGTTAATCACATAACTATGTGAATAAAACTTTATGAATAAAAGATTTATCATTCTTTAAAAACGTGTTAATTCATAATTATTCAAGTGCGACCTTTTGCGGCCGAGTTTAAAGTCTACCTGAAAGTTTTTAGAGAATGTTGTTAACAATGAACAAGGTTTGTATAAAATACACCATTCTTGGAAAATGTTTACTACGTTATAAATGTAGGTATAAGACTTCTGGCCAAAATGTTCACGAATACTTAATTAATAATTCATACATTATAATCAAAACAATAAGATATAGCCTGACCAGGAACATAAAAACCCTGGCATAGAGGCGCGTCAATTGCATTTGATAGTGCAACACTGAGTACAGTACAGTCGTACACACAGATGGTCGTACATGTGTTAAATTAATAGGCTAAATTTATGTATCGGGATTTAGGATTACGGGCTAATTTGATATTTTCATAAATTAACGAAAATATATGATTAAAGGTAACCTGGTTTAAATAAATTAAATTTTAATGAAACCATCAATCGAGCTAGTAGGATTTATTTTATGCAATGTCTGCTCATGAACGCTTCAAACTCGGTACTTCTTTCCCAATTCCATAAAATTCATAACTTAGAAAGTGACAAAAAACTTTAAAATGGGTAGTTGAAACAGACTTCAGCTAATTTTCATAGTGGACTGTACTATACGATAAACATGTCAGTCAATTTGACAACCTTTGTCGGAAACATTATTCAATGAAAATATTGTCCGAACCCTTAGTATTTCTCTTCGACAAATACATTAACACATTGTGAACCACTTTTCTTTCACGACTATAAAAATATTTCAGCAATTTAATTCACAAAATCAATTGCACACATTTAAAATAAAGTTTGTTTACACTTTGACAACAATAGACTGACATGCGTGAGTCAGTCAGTGAGTGACAAAATTAAGTAACTTTGACCCGTTATAATTCTTAAACTACTGGTTCAAATTGAATGAAATTTTAAATATACCGTGTCTTTACAATGCCTGCATAGCTAATGAAAATTCAGCCTTCTAGTTTTATCCACAACGAAGTTACAGGCGGTCGAAAATGGCCTGAATTGCTTCGAGAAAAGGATGGTACGGCCGTGCCGCTTTTTTGCTCGACTTGGTGGGGGCACTGCCGTGCCCCCAGATTAGTACCATTAGTTTCCCGCAACATGGCGAGGGTTTTTATGTTCCTGGTCAGGCTATACGTAACTAACCGTTCATAGAGATGCAAAATATTAATGAGGGTTTCATAATTACGCTCACTAGTTGGCGCCACTGTCTTAGCGATAGATAAGTGACAGGACCTTTCACCTCAGTGGCGCCTGGAATGCTTATAAAGGACATTTATAGAACTTCTTGATTTTTATTGATTGATGCCCGTTTTCATCATCAATCCCTAATTTTTAAGTGACCCCTACGAAAACAAAATTCCTGTTATGTGTTACCATAGGTCACTTAATTAGGGATTGATGGTGAAAATGGGCATAAGTCCTTCAATGATCCACTGGGCAAACATTTTAGCTATAGGAACTATTCCCACCGCTGCAACTCCTGCGTAGCCAGGATCTACTTGACCGCCAAACATTTTAGATAGTGCTAGCTTTTTCCCGCGGCTTCACCCGCGTGAACTTTAGTTTGTCACAGATCGTCATAAGTTACAGCCTATATATGTTATTCTGCGTTATAAAGAATGTAGGTAGTTTCATCAAAATCCGTTCAGTGGTTTTTGCGTGAAAGAGTAACAAACATCCGTCCAGACAACGAGACATCTAGACATCCAAACTTTCGTATTTTTAATATTAGTAGGATGTCTATATTTAATAGGTAGGTATAATAAATCTACAAAACATTAATTAATCACTTTATATTTATTACATCACACTTAATAACAGGCATCTCAAAATATCTTAAGCGAATGTAAAGTAATAAATAGTTAATTTACAGTTTTCACTAAAAATATTCTGTCCTTTTGCATCTAAGTGAAATCGACGTTTGAAAAAAAGGGACAAATAATTTCCTAAAATTGTAGTATAAAACATTTTAAATAAATTTATTCCTATATTTTACATATTATTTACCTAAGCCGTAAGTCTTATTTTATATTTCTCACACCATTTCTCCATCACTTCTTTCCTTATGCTGTTACATAAACTTACACAGCGATATTAAGACGAGAAAAACAATGACTACAAATAAACACTCAATATAAAGAAAATTAAATTAATTATAAATAAAAGAAAAACAAAAAAAAACAGATCTTATGTGAATTTTGCGCCTTCATGTTATGTTTCTAGCTAGAGTCATAGATATTAATGTGCATAAATAATTATATTTATTTCACTAATAATGTGCTATTTTGTAATGTTACAGTTTAAACATCAATTTTTTTGGTTATACGAGGGCTGCACTAAAAGTATCGGGAATGGAATATTTCCACTGTTCCAGTCATATTAAAATCTATTTAATTGCTAAGTCCAGGGTTTTAAAAATCGTATACCATTTATTTATTTAAAAAAAGATTCTCGGTCGTATCACAAGGTCTTGTCAAACTTGTTTAGTCGTTGAGAAAATGGAATTGACTCGAGAAAATTCAAGAGCGATGATTTATTATGACTTTTGAAGTGGTTTAACACAAAAACAGTGTGTTGACCGGATGATTTCTGCATTTGGTAATGAAGCCCCATCCAAAACCACAATTTATCGCTAGTTTCCTGAATTTCAACGTGGACGTGTCAAGCTCAGTGATGATCCCCGTCAAGGTCGTCCAAAAACTGCAGTCACCTAAGAAAACGTTGATGCTGTGCGTAAGCTGATTGAAGAAGATCGACATGTGATATACCGCGAAATTCAGGCAACTTTAGACATTGGCATGAGTCAAATACAAATAATCTTGCATGAACAATTAGGTGTAAAAAAGTTGTTTTCCCGATGGATACCGCATTCGCTCTGTGAAGAAACTGTGCATCGTATAGTGCACGAAGACACGAAGTAACAACCAAAATAGCTGCTATGAAATCGCTTTACATAAACATGCCTATTTCTGAGGATTAAGGGGACATCGCATAGCAGCATTTCCAAGAGTTGTTGATTTGTAAATGGCAATGCCAGATTTTGTATGGAAGGTGGCGTCTTTTTTTTTTCGCGCGGCCATCGACCAAACTTTGTTTTTTGATTANTTTTTAGAGCAAGAAAACATAGAATTATTAGTCCATCCGCCGTACAGCCTCGACCTAAGCCCTAATGATTTCTATACTTTCCCTTAAATAAAGAATAAATTGCGTGGTCAGAGATTTTCATCACCTGAAGAAGCTGTGGAAGCCTACAAAACGGCCATTTTGGAGACCCAAACTTCCGAATGCAATGGTTGCTTCAATGATTGGTTTCGTGTATGGAAAAATGTGTCAAATTTCGCGGAGAATACTTTAAAAAGCAATAAATACATTTTTAAATAGTAATGTTGTTTCACTTCCTTGATTCCCGAAATTTTCAGTGCCGCCCTCGTACATCAAAGTTTATATTCATATCATGGTTATAATCAGCTTAACTTTGCAGCCTGGCATCGATACCCCTTTCTTTTAATTGTATCTGTTCTATGTAAACGTTGTGTGCAACATTTATAGGAATTTAATTTGAATGCAAAAAACTAATGTTATTCTTTAAAAACATGTTTGAGATTAAATTCTGTTATTGTACCTATAAATAAATAAACAATTATAATAAAAACGATTACAGTAAATGATTACATATACATCCTTTTCAGCTCCCTCCTCAGTATCTTACCAGCCGCATTCTTTGGTATTTCGTCCACGAACATGACTTCTTTTATCTCCTTATACTCCGATACCTTATCGGCGACGAACGCTTGCAACTCTTGCGCAGTAACTTCGGCCTCATCGTTAAGAATTACGAAGGCTTTGGGCACTTCACCGTGGAACTCGTGAGGTATACCGATTACGCCCGCGTCTTGGACTGCTGGATGGGAGCGGAGTATACCCTCTAATTCGGCTGGGGCCACTTGCATGCCTTTGACCTGGAAGAGATGAATAATTATAGTAGTTGACACTATAATTAATTACACGACCCAAGAGAAAAATATATTTTCAGTCAATAGCGGAATAATCTCTGTAAGGCTAGCACGAAAAACTTTCGAGTTCGAATCGTTTGCGTATTCGAATCACCATCAAAAGATTTAGTACGAAAACTACAACAGCGCCCTTGTAAACGTGTCGTAAAGTGAACTTAGTATGAGAAATGGTTGCACGAAACTTATTTAAAGAATCAAAATTGTCACGTTATTGTTTAATTCGAAGGTTGAGTATCGAATTTTGTCGAATACGCAAACTATTCGAAGACGAAAGTTGTTCATGCTAGAGGTATACTGGTCATAAATACCTACCTAGTTCCTTGAACGAACTCTTAAAAACGGAAATTTTTGTTTATTTCCAGTTTAATTTATTATGACTCAAAAACATCATTTACAAGAGACATCAAACGTAGGTCAAACATACGAAGCCTACAGAAAAAATAATTTAACAGTTCATAAATGTATCTCAATGACTGATTACGTCCAATTTATGAACACGATAATAGATTAATTACCTACGAGCTTATAGCTGCAATTAAAATAATGTTCCTAATAATTAAAAAAAAATACACAGGCATGTTAATATTATGATAGGTAGGTACTCGTAAATCATCAAGTAGATGGCGCCGTGACAAAGATCAAGGTAATGTAATTTTTAATACACAAACCGTGTAGTTACTTGCCGTTAAATCTTTATGATCAGTATTTATTTATTGCTACCAAGATAATTATTTAGCTGAATGGTAGGTAAGAATTAGTAGTAAATTACTCGATAAACATTCAATCGCTATAATCGATGCTTTATACTTTTGTTTATACTAAAATTATTTCTCGATATAGTTTTGGCAGATCAAAACTGTCTCAATGACAGTTTCCTTAATGTGCTTACCAGGTGGCGCCACTGGCGAGTGATAAGACTTATGCGACATTGGCGCTAATCTTTCTTTCTTTCTTTGGACAATATACTAATCAGATGAATGTTAATGTGAAAAAATACGGGACTATTCCCACAGCTGGATCTCCTGCCCACCACCAATGCAATAGTCCTCCTACGGTCCTACCACCTGTATTAGCCACAAGTAAGTGAGTACCATATTATTCGCCAGAAGCGCCAACTGGTGAGCGCAATCAAGGTAACCTCATTGATTGGTAGTCGAAGTGTATGAGTCTACACATTTTTGTTGCAATATCGCCCCTATTTCAACAATATAAGACCCCACAGAGTTCAACTCTTTCAAATATTAGACGTTTTGAGCCGGACGTTTATCGTGGGTTTGCCGGGCCACACACAGTAAATTATACGGTATGACAACTGCGTCTGAATAAAATTGTACCGTGTTGTACCCACTCCTCTGAAGGTTGGAGACACTACACTCGAAGTTGTTGACAATTATGTATACCTGGGACAAACAGTCCAGTTAGGTAGGTACAACTTCGAGAAAGAGGTTAATCGTCGAATCCAACTCGGCTGGGCAGCGTTCGGGAAGCTTCCCGAAATTCTCACGTCCGAAATACCGCAGTGTCTCAAGTCAAAAGTATTTGACCAGTGTGTGTTGCCAGTGATGGTGTACGGATCTGAGACGTGGTCGCTCACTATGGGCCTCATAAGAAGGCTCAAGGTCACCCAAAGAGCGATGGAGCGTGCTATGCTCGGAGTTTCCCTGCGTGATCAAATCAGAAATGAGGAGATCCGTAGGAGAACCAGAGTGACTGACATAGCCCACAGAATCGCTAAAATGAAGTGGCAGTGGGCGGGGCACATAGCTCGAAGAGCTGATGGCCGCTGGGGCAGGAAAGTTCTTGAGTGGTGACCACGAGTCGGTCGGTCGCGGTCTTGCGGTCCTGCTGAAAACGTCTAATTTGAAAGAATTTCTTAGAATTCTGTGCCCGACAGGGTCCATAATTGTATCCTATAAAACCATACCTACCACCTCTGTAACATCATGGATGCATTAAGGAATGAGGGCTATCGTTTTAGCGCTCACCAGTTAGAGCCACTGTAGAGTAAGGTCCTGTCACTTGCTAGTAGCGAAGACAGTGGCACCAACTGGTGAGCGCGAAAGTGGTAGGAGGACTATCGTATTTGCACTCATCAAGATGGCGCCACTGTAGAGTAAGGTCCTGTCAATCGCCAGGGGTGCCAACTGTTAAGTATAAAACGATAGCCCTCATTGAGTATTAAGTATCCTTTAGACCATTAAATCTTACCTTGATAAGTTCCTTTATCCTATCAGTAATGTACAACCCCTTTCCAGGCTTGTAGATGCCCAAGTCTCCAGTCTTGAAGAAACCGTCACTCGTAAAGCTGTTTTCCGTGGCTTCCTTGTTTTTGTAGTAGCCGTTCATGACCAGTGTCGATTTGAAGCAGACTTCGCCTGGCTGAAATAGATATATTCATTTTAAATTAATATTATTAAGGCATAAAGTAGTAGGTATAGTCGTTGCTGAGTCTGAAAACCAGTTTCTCCCGGCCTGATCTGGATCATACAAAGATTCAAATTCAAGAGGTCACGGCATAAATGTCTGAAACACATCTGTAATGCTGAATTTTTGACGTAACAAAATTACCAGCCCCGCTCTACTACGTCGGAGTAAAAAAAATCGCACCTCCGAAAATAGCTTTCTAGCGATATTAGCTGCTAACACCCACATGACGTATCCTCAACCTTTGGGATTCATATCTGATTCTATTGGTAGTTATTTTAACGTAGGTGTATTTTTTATGCCGAGTACGCAGGTGCAAATGATAAGTGATCTCACTCGATTATTTCTTAAGTATACGAGATCGAAAAAGTGGTTACTGATCCTGAAAGTGCTTCACGAACTCTATTATACGGTATCAATACCAACATCAAATTTTCTACCCTATAGATGTCAATGAGGGAATGACAATATTCTTCATTTCGCTTACCTCACCGATGACTACATCATCCCCCGTAGCCGGATCAATGAACTTCATTTCATAGTTCACCATGGGGTCCCCGCAAGACCCATAGTTTCTGTTCCAACTCCCTTTGTATGTGGTCGAACCCATAGCCGAAGTTTCCGTTGCGCCGTACCCTTGCACGAATTCTGTGTTAGGCTGGAAAGTACTTTATCATCAGAGGGCTTAGTGTGAGTTTACATCAAACGTCATCACTAGCGAGCGCGTTAAGAAATTTAGTGAAGATATTGAAAATTGAAAAAGAGTAGACGTCATGGTCATATTTTAAGTGCACCTGTCTCAAAAACTGCTTTAAAACAAAAAAGCTTCTTTAGTATGGCTCCAAAAATTTACAATAAATTACCACAGACACTAAAAGACACAAATATTCAGATATTTCGCAAGCAGCTGCTATCCTTATTATTAAGCAAAGCCTACTATACATTGACAGAGTTTTTAACTGACAAATTGTGAGATTCTTGACTTTTTTTATGTTTAAATGTTTATGAAATTGTTACTGATTGGACATTACTAACTTACTTTTTATTTTATTTAATTTCTACTAACCTAATACGACTCAATGATGTTATGTAAGTTTGTACGCCGACCTTGGGCCAAACATAGTGATACCGACTTAATTTTTAACACCTGTAATATGTTATTTACCTATGCTCCACGAATAAACGAATTTGATTTGATTTGATATTTTAGTTCTTCAAAGTTTCTGCTAGGGGCGCTGTACAGTTATACAATCCGTCATACATTTAATGTCACTTTTTTACGCAGTCGACATCGAATGCGTTTGACGTAAACTCACACTACGACCCCAGGTCATAGTCTCCACTGCACAATCATGACCTTCTAATATACGGAGGTAAATGAAGGATTGTCCACCCACAAGGTGACTGACGACCTCATAAAGGCAGCAGGAAGGCGCTGAATGCAGGCCGCTAGCCGCTACCAAACGGGCGACGTGGAAATCATTGGGGTAGGCCTAATGTTCAGCAGTGGACGTTCTGTGGATGAAATGATGAGGAAATGGAGGATTTGGCCTTCACTCCTCACGCTGGTCAGACGGGTTGGGGTCTTTGGATACGACATCAAAAAAGAAAATTACTTCAGCTTAAAAAAACAGCTGATAAGTTTGTATTGTAGGTAGTTATGGAAGTAAACTGTCATTCGTTTTGACGACATTACACTTACTTAACTCTGTTATATTCAGATTCCGTCTGTCCATTATTTGTTAAATATCTCGGTGAGCCAGCCTAATATTTTTTTTATGCTGGACAAGTCCGGTAATTGGTTCTTATCACTTTCCTAATAAAGCACAAATTGGACTGCACTTAATTTTCAAGTAGAAAGTACAAAGAAATGATTGTTAGATTGTATGTAGTTATTTTACCTGAGTTTTGGTAAGTAGAGCCTCAATATCCGAGGCAGCAATGGGGGCGGCGCCAGTGAATATGTATCTTAAATGCTGCAGATGTTCTTTTGTCACGAGGGGAATCTTGCTCAGGAAGATTACTGAAATGAAATAATATAGGTACATAGATAAATTTCATATTACTTAAACCTTCTCATAACATGCCATTTAAGCTTTTTGCAACTATTTGACAGTTCGCTAGCACGTATTGGCACTCTGAAAATTTGAACTCTCGAGATATTTTCAGATTTTACGTGAGGTAAGTCGTGGATGTTTATGAGAAAATAAATAGTGCTTCAGAAACGTGGTGACTGAGGCTCCATGGACCACTGGTTGGGAACCCCTGATATAGGGTGAGAACAATACGAATTTTGAATCCAACTTGCAATGCCGAGGGTTGGTAGTTCGTTCTCTGCTATATTATAAGCTTAGCTGAAGGGAGTAGTGGGAATATTAGTAATGTGGTTATGAGGAAAAAAAAGTCTTACAACTACCTACAAAATTATGTTATCTTTAAAAGTCTGAAATATGTGATTGATTTGACGAATGACTGATTTGACGAATGACTGATTTGACGAAACTAGGGTTTCTGATTTCTCGACCTATTTTTTCTCGAGTTTCGGGAATTCTCGAGGCCAAAGTCTCGAGTTTTCTCGGGTCTCGCGAAACTTTACGAATACATACCTACATAAATTGTGCTCAAGAAAAATAATTGAAAAATAAAATACTGAAATAAACATGTAGGCGTGACGTGTATAAATATTCATAATAGGCATTTAAATACCAGAACAATGTTATTTCTTTGTTAATGACGTCTGCTGTTTACGTGACGTTAAGTGATGATTTAAGACAAGGACGAAAATAAGGGTCAAGGTATTATTTTTAGGACCATTGGACTTAATATTTGTATATCTGACAAAAACATAAGTGAATAAGGGAAATAATGTCATTTAAATTACGTTTAATGAACCGCACATGTAAGTTACTTTAAGCCCGTTATCACCAAAAAAATTTAAATGACCCCTTTGAAAACAAAATTCCTGTTGTGTTACCATTGGGGTCACTTAAAAATTAGGGATTGATGGTGAAAACGGGCATTAGATCCCTATTCTACAGGCAGTCCCGTAGGAATATAATCATAAACACAGAGACTTAAATCTTTGTTTTATCTGTCATCCGCTTTGCACTGGAGGGAAGTTGAACCCTAACTTTGAACTCCAATGTTCTTCCGATTAATTTTGTTGCGGGTCCACAATGACAGTTAACTTTCTCTGAGCTGAGACAAACTTGACCTTCACTGGTTGGGTGTTTATTGGCGGTCAAGCTGTAGGTCCTGGCTACACAGGAGTTGCAGCGGTGGAAACGAGAGGTGGGAATAGTTCCGTATATAAAAAACCACTGAGACTTCTCTATGATAATGACCCAACCTTGAGCATACTGATACCACTGATACTGAGACAACATTTGTGCAGCGCTATTTTACATTATAGCGGCAGTAACACCTGGGTAATGGGTTATGACCTTACTTGTTACAACTTACACATTCTAAGAAAAAATAACGCAGAATTTACGTCATGCAAATGGCGCCGTCATCCGTACAACATTACCTATACCAAGTATTTGTTGACACTTGCTCAAAATAAATAAATAAAAACATCATAATATTCACAATTTATTCTCAGTAGGGTGGCTTAATATTTTCAAAACAAAAGCTTAGCTCTGTTTCAGGACAACGATGCTTTGGGACAATACTGAAAATCGGGACAAATAAAATCGGTCACTATTGTCAGCCCCCATTTCATTATGTACCGATATGGGCTCGGCAGTTTTACAGGTCTATTCCACTTTGATTACCTGAATTTGATCACCCAGATGAACAAAGTTGACTCCAGGCGACACTTTGGTGTTCTTTGATCACCTAGGTGATCAAAGTAGACATCTTATGCCTGGAGTTCACTTTGATCACCTGGGTGATCAAATCCAGATGATTAAAGTGGAAGAGAACGTCTTAAATCCAGACGTCAAGTCTTGTAAGTTTTGAGCTATATTTTAACGCTCCTTTGTCTCTCAATGGCTTTAATATTATATGTAAATTTTAGTAATTTATCTAAGCAAGGAAACTTACCCAAAGGAGGCACCACATACAGCAAATTCACTCTTTCCTTCTCCAATATATCGAAGTACGTGCCCGGTTGGAAGGAAGACATCGTGATGAGCTTGCAGCCTTTAGCCAGATGCCCGAGGAGTGTGATCACCATACCATAGATATGGAAGAATGGTAGCACACAAGGAACCACATCTTGGTGCTCAGCTGTAAGCAAACATCGATAGATTAACGCCCGTATTCACAAACATTACTATGAGGTCTCACAGTGCGCGTGGACGCACATGGTCACACACGAACCAATCACAGAGCTCTATTCAATGCTGTGCGTTCGATTTGTTGATTCACTTAAGCAAGCATCGTTTGTGAATACGGGCGTAAGTCTCATACGTGGATCTTTAGCACCGAGGAAAATTTTCGCAAAATGCTATGATCAAAAAGTCATTAATGTAGGTAAGTTATTTTCGGCTAAATATTAGGCTTCAGTGCTTTTACATGTCCCAGTATTATTATAATCCTACTATTGCTTGGCTTTTAAAAAGCGCTTTTAGATATTTAAAGCCTACCGCTGCTCCGGGATAATAATGACCAGTGCTGAGAAGTAGTGTAAGAAAAGATAATAAAGGTGTCATTTAACTTATAGATCATTTTCACCTTTTCAGCTGGCAATCGCGCTCTTTGACGCTTTGGCTTATGGTTCTGGGCTAGTTACAAATATAAATACTTTAACAATAAAACTCACCACTAGTCAACTCAGCCAACGCAATCTTGTCATGACTCATAACGTCCATACTCGACAGCAAATTCTTATGGCTTATTTCAACTCCTTTAGGCAATCCAGTAGTACCGCTTGAAAACGGTATCACCGCCACATCATCATGTTTCGCCTCAATTTTATCTAATAAAGAATAATCCGCACCACCTGATTCGGCTAGTTCAGTATATCTGATGACCCCACTGGGGACTGAGTCAGCTGGGTTGTCAATAAGGACGATTTTCGCGTCCAATTGGGATAGCTGTAGCGCTTTTACAGCTGTGTCGTAACTTTGTGGGATGGTTATGATGACTTTCGGTCTAGTCACGGCGAGCTGGTGACCGAGTTCATCTAAAATTAGAAACAAATAGATCAAATCTTCTCTCTCTCTCTTTCATAGGAATTTGTCTCATTATTGCCACCATAATTTGAACCTTATTAATTTTTCGTAAGGTCGAAAACTATAATATTGTGCCCTATAGAAGGTAAACTCCTTACGGCCGAATACTGAAACGCCATTTAAATATTTGACGGCTTCTCAAATAGTTAAGCAGCTCCTAAACTTACATTTCGCATACTCAAAACAATATCTGAGCAGTTCTCAATTTTTAAGCACCTCTCAAATTAAGTTGCACTCAAACGCNCAAAACTTGCGGGCAAAAAGAAAATCTAGTATGTAAAATCATCAAACTTCTAACGCTCGTAACTCAGTTCAGACTGAGTTTAGGGGTATACATGTCATAGTAAGTTTGGTTTATTACACTATTTTGTAATCAAAAAACAAGGTTTGGTCGATGGCCGCGTGAAAAAAAAAAGACGCCAATTTCCGGCATTGTCTTTTGATGCTCTGTCAGTCAACAATGATAAATGTCAATTGTGGTTACGTTTCGGTCCACGATCGCCACTTAACAGATTTCAACAATAAAAAGTATCATATTTAAAATTATTTTTTTAATTAAATAAAAATGCAAGAATTATTATTTTATATGATAAAACGAGATTTATATATATTAGAAACTAAAAATAAACTGTTCTATGTTAAGTTGATTGAGTATATTTCCATAAAAGACAATACATAACTAAACGATGCTGCGTGTAATGGATAAAAGACGTAAAGTTATCATTTGTGTAAATGAAAACATACTTTTTTTGGTAAATGTTGCCATTATGTAAACATTTGAGAGCTGCTTAGCTGATCACGGCTTCAAATCCGTTGAGTAACGTTTGAGAATACCATTTAAAATTGAAGGATACTTAAATTTAGGAGCCCGTCAGCTGAGTGACAGATTTGAGTAGTGTTTCAGTATTCGGCCGTTAGACTTACAATTGAATGGACAACTGACGTTACTGCAGTGCAATAAGGGCGTGTCTTGTTTGACAGCGACGTCAACAGTTTCGTATACTCAATTAGGCTGGGTTGCACCTACTTTAACTTCGACAAACGTCAAAAATCTGTCAAAACTCCATACAAAAAACTCGTTATCGTTATAGTTACGGTCAAAGTTAGGTGGTGCAACTCAGACTTAGTTTACAGTTGTCCATTTTTATGGCAACGTCATGATGAACTATTAACTTAATAGGATTGGGAACACCAAGAAAGGACCCTTCCTACAATTTGATCATCACAGCGCAAACGGTTCAAGCTACAAATTGGACTTTAATACAAGGCAGTAAGTTACAAAATGACGACCCGAATGCCACCAAAGGGAATTCGGTACAGTTGGGCCTTGGGCACCACAATCGCCGGCATATGTCCTGGCTTTAATCCACCTACGGGACCTAAGTACAACAAGTAAGAATATGAAAATAATACTTACGCTCCTTATAAATAGGGTTGACAGTTGTCACGACACACCCAGCTTGGATCGACCCAAACGCCACCACGGGGAATTCGGGACTGTTTGGCATCGCAATGGCCACCATATCTCCTGTCTTCAGCCCCAACTTCTTGAGCAGGGATGTCGCAAAGTTGCCAATATAATTCTGCAGCTGAAGGTAGGTGTAGCTTTTGTTCGTTTCTGCGCTGACCTAAAAATAATTAAAATTTCATGATAATTGCTTAACGTTCATAATTGATTATACGCTTGATCTTTCGACACCTTGACTTCAGAATATTTGTTGAGGTAAATGGATTTTGTACACTAGTGAAAAAAAAGCAATAATAAAAAAGTCTTTGTCTGTATGTTATGTCAAATCAAAATGTTTATAAATAATTAATAGCAATGATTTACTTAAACCTTTTTCTGTTAGTGGCTGAATTGTTTCCACCATGTATTGAACTTTATTGCAATGATATAAAGTTCAAAACGAATGAAAAACATATTTTTCAAGACCAGTCAAAGGGTCAAATTCACTAGGTTACCACATTCAAAGGGTATGCAATTAAAAAAATATGATTTTACTTACCAATGCAACATGATTTTTAAAATGTGCAGAGTCCGCCCACAGTTTATCCAACAATCTAATGTTAGGCACAGGGACATCTGGGTACACAGACCTCAGAATATAATCATTCTTCTTCACACTGGCACTAGAATAACACTTCCTTGACCATTTCACATTTTTAATCTGTCCAGAAAAAAGTTTACGAGCAACACTTGTCATTTTTCCCGCGCGAATTTACCAACAGCCAGCAACAGACTAATCGAAATTAAAAAAAACATGGTATTTACAACAGCATTGGCCTTGTACCCTTTGCGTCATAAAAACAATGTTAAACTATGAAAAATAATTGTTCGGGGTTGAGAGTATCCACAGCATAACATAGATTTTTTTGACACTGTAAAAACAAGACAATTTTGCATTGTCGTATCGGTACAGGTAGGTACGCTCGAACATTATTTAAAAATGAGGATAAAAATTATTGACTGTTGAGATTTAATTAATTACATAAGGGCCTCTTTGACGATCTCCGAGTAGTTACGTCAGTCTTGTCAGTGTCATGGTTTCGTTGACATTTTACTCAGAGATGGTGACCAAGGCCCTAAGAGCCAAGGTTCACACGGTCAATTAGAATGTATGTGGATGTTTTTAAATTTTTCTATGCTGGTCTCATGCAAAAAGTCGTCGCATTAGAACAACATAATCCACCCTTTTTATATGCTGAAAAAGACCTTGTATGAAAAGATCCACATTGAGCCTGAGCGCAGACCATCGACTTTTTATCGGCCAATAGCTGGGCCCGATTCTAATTTGTATGAAGAATCGGCCGATACCAAGTCGGTGTAATGGTGCGCACTCTCATACATCTCCATTCTGATTAACAGCCCGACCCAACTCTCGGCCAACTAAAAGTCAGTGGTCTGCGTTTAGCCTTAAGTCTAAAAAAAAACATGAAACTTAAAATAATTCATGTTATACGTCAATGTAAGATGTCAAGTACATACAACAAACGTTCAGTTTCAGTTCAGGAAATCCAAGTTGAAAAACAATTCAAAGAATTTTAATGAATTTTAGTGGTATGGTAGTGATCTTTGACGTCCATGTGAATTCTGCAAATATAGAATACTTTTAGAAAAGGATGGAATGTTTTTTGTTATTTTAGAATGTATAGATAAAATAAGGTTCAAAATGTGGTGGCAGCTATACACTTCTATAAAAGGAAAGGAAAGATGCACTATTTCGTGTAGAAGATTCATGATTTTTCAAATTAATAAACACAAAAAGTGCCTTAGTTTTTTGGTCTATTCCACTTACATTTTATTTTTTCAAATCTAATATACCTACTCTTGGGGTCTTGGATTTTGTATTCTTAATTTTATTACTAGTATAACGTGTAAGTTATTAAAATTAAACAAATACATAATGAAAATTCTAAATACATTTATTATCAAAGAAATAACAATAGGCGCGAAAACGGATATTAATCAGTTTCTGGAGTGGTATAAGTATATTTAAATGTTAACATAGCATTTTCAGTTACCATATTCTTTATTTTAGCGTTAGAAATATTTCTTCAGTTGAGATTATTGTTTTGTCCTTGAAAGCATGCATATACACTTTTAAAGTCGAATTTGAACTTAAAGACATTAGGATAAGATTCAAGGTTTAACAGGGATATTTTACACTGATACTTGGCGATACAGTCTGTATTTTTGATAATCTGACACACGTCATGTCTTTCATAGGAACTTAATTTGTCCCCAAATAGAGAAAAGGGTAACTAAGTTTATTATATTACTAAAATACTCAGAGGATACATTCGGTATAATTACTAATAAATGCTATGTAAAAGAAGAGTACATTATATTGATTACACACGCTTGTTCAAAATGGCTACAGATGTTTGTACCGATGTACATTCGGCAGCATATCAAGCTTTATTACAACAATAAACAGCCTTTATTACAATGACATAAGTGTTAAACTTGGTGTGCTGTCGTCTGTATGATGGAGGCTGACTAGGCAATTGATAATATTTGGTATACAATTACAAAAGTTAACCAAAGCTAATAATAAATTCTTATCAATACAATAAACATTTCCAGATAGCTTAGGCCCGGTTTCATCAAGGCGGCGGAGCAGAGAAAAGTTTTAAACTTTTAATAATCAATCAGATTTCATTCAATCTGAATAAAATTTTATTGGTCATTCAAAATATTTCTCCGTTCCAGCTTGGTGGAAACCGCGCCCTTGTCGTTAGTACAGTCCACCTCAAAAATATCTAAAGCCCGGTCTGTGAGCACGTAGAATTTTGTCCAATGACCCCAAGCTACCCATCCTTATCGCTCGCGCGTAATTATATTGCTGTCGCGACTGTGCGACGGGTGCCCGCAGTGAGTGTGCGAGCGTGACAGCAACATAATTACGCGCAAGCGATAAGGATGGGTAGCTTGGGGTCATTGGAGAAAATTCTACGTGCTCACAGACCAGACTATACAGTCGAGCGAGTCCAATGCTTTATACTGCAGCTCGTATGAAATGAACTGTACAAACAAGAAAATCTAATAATATGAGGATTATTTTTGCGGAAAACTAATTTATAAATGTAATTTGAAATATACATTATAAAATGTTACATAAAAATTCTAGGACGAGAAATGGTCGGAGTTTCTTCTTTATTTTTTAACCAAAACTGTAACTTGTGATGTTGAACATTTTAACAGTAATAAAAGTATTGCGACAATTTTGGTAAAAAAATAAAAACATAAAACTGAAATGTATCGTAACGTGTACCTACTTAAAGTACTATGAGTTAAGTAAAGCATAAGTTCTAAACAAAATACCAGTAGACTACAGATCTTACAGTAAGAAGATAATAATAAAGCTCGTATTCGGAAACATTTCACTCAAAATTGAATTCAATCTAGATTGGTTTAAGTTTACATTCCCACTTGAGTGACGTTTCATGATACAAGTCTAAAAACTTACCTTATTCATGTTATAATTATCTGGCAACACAACCTATTTTTTTTTTCGAACTTGGAATTCACTTTTTGCCTCAAATACAAACATGATGATCACCTACCAAAAAGTATTGCATGTAATTTTGATGTTTTTTTGTTTCGTAATATTTTAATCAATTGACGTTTATCAAAGAAAACTGTCGTAAACATATTTCCCTGTTCGTTAATATAAATGTCTGGAAAATGTTGCTATTTCTTTGGCCACTATTTTACGTTATAGTTGAATTTTTAAAACATTTTGAGAGAAATAAGATAAGAAAACTTAATACAAGTCTTGCCACATAAAAAGGAACAAAATTTCGAGTTTCTTTCTCATTCTAACATCCGCTCTCCTACATCGTTCGAGCCCGTTCTCACCAACAATCTCAAAACTTTAACATTCCCTAAAATTCAGTAAAATGTTTTACATAAAAACTTTTAATATGACAGGCTAAGGCCTTCGATTGCCATAAGCACTATCGCACTTAAATGAAATACGGTAATTTCCCTTCGCATTAATTGCAACAACGCACTGTCCCAATTAATTTACATTATTTTTGGATAACTGGCAACTTTCTCAACTATGTGATATTATACAAATTATAAGAAATATTTATATAAATACCAGATTTGTAACGACACAGTAAGCGTTTTCCTCGAAAAGGTTTCGGTTTGGTTCTTCATAAATCTTCGAGCTGAGATCTTCTGTAAAATAAAGAAAAAGAAGTATAAAGCATTATTTCTAAGTTAAAAAGTATTTTAAGACAAAATGACGTAAATCAAGCAATTAAAATACTAAAATACCAGCTGAAGTTGTGGGTTCAAATTCCACTGGGGCCAAATATAATTTTAAGAAGAGTGTCACATACAGTTAATAATACGTTTAAATAATTTTATTAGTTATCTAAAGGTCTATTAGCTTTACTCAGTCAATGCTTGAGGTATGGGAGAAGCACGGAAGGGGTGACATTGACATATTACAACGTGACAGAACATAAAGGTCGATTCACACATATCAGTGAAGTCACAGTTCAGACACAGTACCCGCACAGTGCGAAATATTCTTTCATACAGTTTCTATGAACGCATCCCCACTTGGCAGTGTCAGTGCCGACACCGGCAATCACGGACGTATTTGTTGACGACGATATTTTTTGTCGGATCACGGACGCCGCCGCGGCATCAAAAACAAAATAACTTACTTCCTAGTTTCTGAACAAGAATATTGAAACAGCTCTCTGACATTTTAAAATATTCAAAATATTTCCTTTCATCTTCAACCAATTCTTTGTATAATGTCATCAATTCTCCTTCTGTCTCTTGATCGCCATGCTTCATGCAAAAATTTTTTTTTTTCTTTGATGTTGCGTCGTCCAAAGCAATAGCTATCATTGCTAGCTTCATAGTACTAGACACCATAATCTCGATACTTGACGACGAACACATTCACTGAAACTCCGTGAACTGAGTACTGACATGTATGAATTGAATCACTGACGCAACACTGTAGCACTGATACTGAACTGAGCGAACACTTTGAAGGAACTGTGGCTTCACTGATGTGTGAATCGAGCTTTAAAAATAACATGAAGTATATCTGAAGTCTCGCTGACATTTGACGTTACAAAAACACCCTCCCGTGCCACTTCCACACCCTCAGGCACTGATCTGGACAAATGGCTCCCCCAAGGATTTCCACAAAGACCGGTTCTGCGCCGCTCGCATCCAGGCACCTTCCGCGACCTTCACCAGATCGTCGGTCTACCTAGTGGGAGGCCTGCCCACGCTACGTCTTCCGGCTCGTGGTCGCCACTCAAGAACTTTCCCGCCCCAGCGGCCATCAGCTCTACGAGCTATGTGCCCCGCCCACTGCCACTTGATTTTAACGATTCTGCGGGCTATGTCAGTCACTTTGGTTCTCCTACGGATCGCCTCATTTGTGATTCGATCCACGCAGTATCTATACTAGTTGTTGTCTTAGTTAGATTAGGTTAATTGATTGAAAGGTATTTAAAAAATCTTACCCTAATTTATTGGAGATTCCCGATATCTTCCTCGAACAGCCGCTTCCCTCCCTTCAGAATCTTCTCAGAGTCTTTCCCGTGCGTTTTCATGAATTCCTCCAGCCTTATCAACCACTGCGCCCAGTGCTCCCTCAATTTGTCAGTCGATAGATGATACACGTCAGCTTTAGACCCGTCTGTGTACGCGATAACGAGTAAAGCATCGCGCACGTTTAAGTGTTTGTAGTTTAGATCGTTGCAGACGGCGCCGAAGTATGCGGCTAATTGTACAGGGTTGTCGTACGTTAGAGATATCGATTTGCGTGGCTTGTCGGATTTCTTCCATTCGATTAGTGTGGGCTTGTCCCTGAAAAGAAAAAGATTAATATTATACACTAAAGGAAAGTTCTCGAGTGGCGACCACGGGCTGGAAGACGTAGCGTGGGCAGGCCTCCTACTAGGTGGACCGACAATCTGGTAAAGGTCGCGGGAAGAGCTTGGATGCGGGCAGCGCAGGACCGTTCATTATGGAAAACCTTGGGGGAGGCCTTTGTCCAGCAGTGTGCACCTCTCGCGTCAATTACGTACTTCCAAGGTATTTAATTTAACATAGAAGCTCTGGCTTCGATTCAATGTTGTGATATATTATTTAGATAAGAGGCGCCTCGCCTTGAAATCGCCAGGCAAACTAGTATGAAAAGACAATAGAATTTTAACGATTACAAACAGATTTACACCTCTGCAATTTCACTCTTACTATGTCATTGCCCTAGTATCGGCCTAAAGACATTTTTACCTACTTCATGTAAATACACCTACTCGATACCAGTTTGATAAACCTGATTATACTTATCATTTTGCTACTCGTGGCTGAACAAATCAGTAGGCTATCACCCACAAACATTACTATGAGGTGTCACAGTGCGCGTGGACGCATAGGGTCCCAAAAACCTATTCACAGACAATACTTGAGTAGCGGAGTGACACACACGAACCAATCACAGAACTCTATTCAACGCTGTGCGTTCGACTTCGCATAGCGTTGATGCTTCATTTATGCAAACACCGTTTGTGAATACGGGGGTGTATGAGTTTTAATAAAGTCAAGAACCTTGATAAACAACCGATAAGAGGTCACCTTATCAAGGAATGCAGAACAATACATTATCCCAATCTCGAACTTGACTTTTGCGACACTTATCAGTAGGTATTTCACCATACAAGATAATAATATGCGTCACAAGAAAGCGTTAATTATGTTTTGTCACAGAATGTTTGTTTTCGTGAACTTGATAAAATTCTGGACACTTGCCAATAAAAAGCATTATCATGTTTTATGTCAAACAATGTTTCAAGAGCAAAAAATTTTTTCAGAGCAATTAGAGTTATCTTTAGAGAGATTAGTAAAAATATACTTAGCCGATGTTGATTGAGATTATTTGTATTAACGTTTTTTTTTTACAGATATTTGTGAGCATTTAGCTACTTTGCCTACTTTCTGGCGTAGTCGGGTAAAAACTCAGGTTATGAAGGTAAATCATAACACATCGAAATTTACAATGGATCGTTATAGAGCTCGTATTCAGATTCACAGGAATAATCAATATCTACTTGCTACAATGTCCAAAGATCAGAATGGAGTTTGGACTTTGTTACATTTCAGATACGGATCAAAACAATGGATATAATTAGTTACTTTGTAGCAGATTGGAGAATCTCCAAAATCTACTATCCAAATAAAATTCACCGATATGATATTATCATGAATAAGATTTCTGTATCATATTATGCAATGTGGGTGTAGCATAAAATACGCAGATAACACTTTTTACATTATAATCAACATATTAAAATTCCAAAGATTATACTCAAGTAGATACTTGTCAATCTGGCTCCATAATACCTACTTTCTTTATGCTTAACACCCGTATTCACAATCGATACTTGCACAAGTGAAGTAGAAAATCGAACGCATAGAGCTCCCTGATTAGTTCGTGTGACTCTGTGCGTTCACGCGCACTGTGAGACCTCATAGCAATGTTTGTGAATACGGGCGTAAGAGAATTGTCAACAAGAGCAATACCCCTTTCAAGGTCAAAGTTGTTTTCGCAGCGTAACATCGCAAATAAAATATTACAATCGATGTTAACACAAACTATTCTAAAACTACCACAGAATAAGTAAATAGAATTGACGACAAACTAAACATTGTGACATCTTATGTAATAGAAGAAATATTGCCGTAATTCTGATATGCTGTATTTACTGCACTAGCAACACTAGCATAATAGGCTCAATGAATCAACAAGAAGCAAAACAATCTGACGCCCATATTCACAAACGAACCTTGCTAAGTAAAGCAGCAAATCGAACGCTCAGCATTGAATAGCTATAGCTCTGTGATCTGTTCGTTTCTCACCCTATGCGTCCAAGCGCACAGTGAGACCTCATAGTAATGTTTGTAAATATGGGCGTGAGTGATTTTCCTTATTCTGGACCATCACTATCAGTTAATTTTTTTTTTAAAAACAGTATGTGACCCCGCTCACTAGGCAGCCTGGCTGTGGCAGCCAATCCTGTATAATGTATATGAACACTCTTGGCTGCCTAGTACGCAGGCTCCCATACACCGTCATTTAGTTATGTTCAAGCCCAACGGATTAGCAAGCTAAAGTGGCAATGGTCAGGGCACATAGTACGCAGAACTGACGGTCGATGGGGCAGCAAGGTTCTGGAGTGACGGCCGCGTACCGGAAAATGCAGCGTGGGACATCCACCCACAAGGTGGACCGACGACATCATAAAGGTAGCAGGAAGGCGCTGGACGGAGGCCGCTACCAACCGGGCAACATGGAAAGCATTGGGGGAGGCCTACGTTCAGCAGTGGACGTCCTATGGCTGAGATGATGATGATGTTGAACTTGCTACCACAGCCAGGCTGTCTAGTGCGCGGGATCTCTAATAGTTGACAAAATAATATGTTTTCAAATAAATGTTACTTACTCATAATCAGCGATTGCATCAAATATTCCTCGATACTTCAGAACGGGGTGCACAACATTGGACTCTATTGCTTTGGGCGATGATATACTTTTGAGGACATCGCTGACTGACACCCAGACGCCTTCAACGTCCTTCTCAATACGAAGCTGTGTTTGAGGCTGCGTGAAGTAGTTCTTGAGTGTAGTGTGGAATTTGGTACCAACTGCCATTTGAGCTGGAATGAAATGTAAGAGACCAATATTTTATTGATTGCAATCAATTAATTAGCCACCAAAAATACATATTAATTGTAAGTTACTTTACAGTTGTTTATAGCACTGGAATTGTCAGAAATATTAACAGTCTACTTACTTATTTAAATGAAATTCAGTATAAGGTTAATCCTAATTTTTTTAATAATTCAAATAAGAAAATTTTACATTATTTTTCTGTTTCCTATTCCAAAGTTAACGCATCTAAAAACAAGTAATGGTTTTTCACTTTATTGTTATAGACTCATCATTGTTTAAAGAATAACAATGAAGGAATAACAAATCACATGTAAATGTCATGTACAAGAAATTTTGGAGGTCATCGGTGAGACAGCTACAACAAATGCACCAAGCTAGTTTACCCTTGAGAATTCTGGTTTTCAAGTGACTGTACACTCACCAGTTGCTTTTCATACATTTACCAGATACTATTACTACAATGAAATAGCAATTAGTTAGATTAAAATAAAATAAATTATGTTCTCAAGTCCAATGATACAATGTACTGAAAGTGCCACATAAAATTGACTGTTATTTTAGAATACAAAGTGAGAAACATAATAATATGAATTAATTCAAATTTGAATTATTTTATTGCATGTCACTAGATGTTATTTTATGTTATTAAGTCATTAGAAGGACGTACCTACATGTATTTGGGTAAAGTATTGACTTTACCTAAAATACTGACAATTAAAGCATAAGAACTTTAATTTGTATTGTTAGGTAGTTTAGTAATTCAAATATTTCTAAAGCTCAAAATATTTGAGCAATCAAAATTGTACACCTATATCAAGTGCTAATAAATTCTAATAGAATAGCTGCTTCGTACCAGCCTTAATTGTTTGCAATTGTTGTTTATGCAGTGTCACTGATTAAATTATCTACCATTCTTCAAGGTTGCCTACCATTTTAGATTTAAATTGCCATGGCAGTGTTGTTTAGGGATTAAAAATGTTACAGGTGCAGAAATGTACACATTAATGAAGAATTAAATACAACAGTTGAAAAATAAATATTAAAGAAACAAACATACCCTGGTAGAATTTATTGAATTCTTCTTCTCCCATTTCAGCTATCCTCTCTTGTTTCCATTTCTCCAAAGCAGACCGTGAGTCTTCAGTCATAGTTTTGTTCAGGATCAGCGTAACAGAAGGATACTGTTCAGCAAAATCATTCTTATGTTGCTTAATCTGCAGTATTCTGTCTTCGCTTGCATACCCAGGCTGTGCAGGTGAGCTCCTCGCTGCATTCACTGGCACTACAGTCTTTAACCCTCTCACTGTTGTGTTGTTCAACAAAACACCAACAAAGTTCACTAAATTCTTCGTATTCTGCCACATCGTGGTTATTTTCTCAGGGTACACACTAAACTTAGAGTAGCTTGCTACCACATCCCGCTCACTTTCTAACTTGAGCGTATTTTCGTTTGTGGCTGTCGCGCCGTTGTTTTGATGTGATCTATTTTTAGCTGAAAACAGATAAAATTATACGCGTGTACCTATAGCGCACGGCGCCAACAGCGTAATGTCATATGATTTGAATTGGCAAAGACGCACAAGGGAAAGTAAACGCACTCTGTGCCGCTACAACATTGAAACGACACGGGGAATCGCAGCCAACTATTTCCTCGTGCAGATAAGCCTGATTACCTTAATATAGAAAGTAATTCAATCACAAGGCTAGCGAAACCATACAACACCTACCCGATTCTCGCGTACGCTGCTTCTTCTGCTTACTATTCTCCAACAAAGGCCCGAATAAATCCTTGTTCTCTCTATTGTATAGTTTAATTCTATCCGCTGGCTTCAAGAGAGAACTGGGTTTAACCACTTTTGTTCGGATGAATTCCTTAGATTTCCTTTCGAAAGAAATTCGACGACCGATGGTGCAAATCGGTCGTAACATAACGACCGCCGATTTTTTCTTGGAACGATCTACAGAATAGTCTTCGAAGAAAACCTGATTTACAATCTCAGACGCAAAATTCTAATGATTTTTCTAAAATAAGAACAAGAAAGAATTCGCAGAAATTGACCAAAAATTTGTTAAATTTTGATTTATGACAGATGGACAGAGAATGAATGATGAATGAATCTTGTATGGTAAACACAGATATGATGGTAAACGACATTGACGTAAGCTGTTGATTGGGCAATGAACGAAGAGGGATAAGATACAGCAAGCGTTGATTGGTCAAAAATCTTATCACCACATTGCTATTGGTTTATTTTAATGAAAGATAATGTTCCATTCTGTCATATTTCTGTACTGTTTTATCGACCTAACAACGCCATCTCTTATTATTTTTCAAAGACATCTATTGCTTGTGCATGCTTTCACAGTAGTTTACAGAATAGTAAAGATAGATGGCGCAACCAAGCATACTTTTCTCATTTTTTTAAAAAAACTACGATAGATTGCGCTACTGGTACTGGTAACACCCACAAAAACAAAAACAGATACCGGTGATGACAAAAGTTCCCAGAAATTAAGGACACGTTCCTCTCATTTTATAAAATTGAGATAGATACCTACGATCTGAAAAACAAGAATCTACCCATTAAGTAAATTGAAAGTGTTGACATTAACTGAAAAAGTTCAAAGTCAACTGCTGCATTCATCTAATAAAGGAAGAACGCTAAGAACTTTAGTGGAAGTGCTCCCTCCGATAAGGTGGCAAAAAGAATTAATCTTAGAATGGGACTATTCATTCATTCGCCGGACCGCGAGAGCAGAATTTTAATTAAAAACCTCGGTTATAGCCGCGGTGATTCATTTTGCACTTTTTAGGGGTTCGCGGTAGTTTTTTTAAGCGGTCTTTGTGAGTCTTTGGTCTGGTACCTCTGTCTGGCAAAAAAATTAAATAAAATTTGAATAAATTGACTTCTTTCCTGGCTTTTTAGTTCAGGACTGGAACTACCTAATAAAACTACCTAGTAGGTAGGTAGGTACAGACTACTTAATAATTTAGTTAATTTCTCTATGATCTTTGTTCAGAGACTCAACTTCGAGTTGAAGAGGAAAAATGCGCACATCTTTACGGTACCTTACTTACCCACTTCCTACAAGAATTTTCATCGAACAAACCATTATCAAAAAACAGTCATTGCAATGTTTCTGTCCATGTTATTATACGGAACTTGTCCTAAGTAAATCAATTAGCGCTTCGGCTGTTCCTAAACGTGAAAAATCTCATTTAAGCCAGCAATTTGCTTGGAAAAATAGTCTCCTCACCTGAGCTTTTAATACCGCGTAAGATACCGCCAACGTTTTAATTTAAGAAAGTATTAATCAGCAATTACTGCTGAAAATGGCTACAAGTTATAAGAATACCTAACTGTAGCTATGGATACTAGCCCTGTACCTTTATTGATCTAGCTAGACTTACTGCCAAGGGGATTTACCTGATTCCACAAAAATGCTGATAAAAATGCATTCAATCCTGTGAAGAGTCCAAATCTCATATCAACATCTTCAATGTAAAAATTAAATACCTACAATTATTGTTAACTGTTGCAAAATCGACCCGATTACAACTAAACCAATGAATTTTTTGAGACACGGCTTTCTGAATAACCCAAAGGTTGACTAGCGGTGAATGCTTTTAGCGTTAAGTCCGCATTTTGTACGTTATTTGTGCAATAAAGTATTTTAACTAAAATAAAAATAAATAAGCCTAGGTACTAAGTTGATAAGGTGTGGCATGTCCAATTCGATGTGCCATCTTCTACTTAGCCCAAATTTTTCTATTCTAGCTATTTGCTATAAATCAGTTCCGTAATAAGCTATTATAGCGCAAAGAGGGTCGTTCTGGAACCGTTTTATTTCTGTGCTATTCACAAAAGTGGCAGAAATGGAACTGTGTAATTAGGCCGATTTGCCTCAACGGTCTCTGAACAGGCGACCAGGTGATCAACCCACGCTCCGGTAGGGCTTTGCAAAATAACTACAGTCAGCGTCAGAAACATTTACCGACGCCATTTTCCTATGACGGAACTGTTATTGGGTGATGATTCCATTCATATAAAAGACGTCCACTCTTGGAAAGTTCTCCCCCAAGGAATTTCACATCGACCGGTCCTGCACTGCGCCACTGCCTGCATCTGGATGCACCTGGGTGGTTCCTGCAAACTTCACCATCACGTCAATTCTCCTACTGAAGGGGTCTACCTACTACATTGGTTACGACTTAAGCTTCAACCACACCGACGCGTGCAGATTGCCATCGCCGGCGCGATCAAAGACCAATGATAGGTCGCGCGACTTATGACAGTTCACGCGACCTGTCATTTCCCTAATGATCGCGTCGTGATAACGCCTGCGATGGCGATCTGCACGCGTTGGTGTGGTTGAATCATTAGGTACGGTCCATGACTAATAAAAAGTTACACAGTTGTTGAACACTGTTTTAAAATGTCATTTCCATACTAAACGTCGCTTTAAAACACTGTTCAACGAGCGTGTAAGTTTTATTAGTAAGGGGGTAAATCTCTAAACAATGTTACTTTTATACGTTACCTACACTGTACTAAAATGTTGGTGCCGACTTTATCATGAATAATGCATTGATCTACTTAGTTGACCCAATAACTACGAGTAAATATTACTTCCTGATTTTGATTGCGCTAATTATCATAATGGAGCCTGCTACGTCTAGGTGGTGAATAATGGTTTGCGAGAAGAACTTCGTATGCACTACTCAGCTCAATTACTTGACTTGACCGATACTGGTTGGGATTTTATTGGCGGTCAAGCTGTAGATCCTGGTTACACATCAGGAGTTGCAGCGGTGGGAACGAGAGGTGGGACTAGTCCCGTACTGAGCTTATCTCAAAATTATTTGTAGCTGAATGAACTTTAACGAAACTAGAGCTGTACTTTTTAGATTAGATATTATTTTGATCTTCAGTCTGAAGTTTATACCCACTGATGTGAAGTAATCCCAGTGGATTGCAAAGCATTACAGTTCATTTCTTTAATAATTTTCCCGTTTTCGCCACATTTTCGTTGATTCTGCTCCTATTGATCGTAGCGGGATTAGATTATTATAGCCTATAGCCTACCTCGATAAACGTGCTATCCAACATTAAATAATTTTCAAATCGGACCAGTTCCTGAAATTAGCTCATTCAACAAAACAAACTCTTTCTTTATAATATTAACTACAGTATTAGTTTACACTTTCGACTACATTACGTCTTCACTATCAGCTATAACTAAGGTCCCTTCTCCGCTATCTGAGTCAGCACTCTTGCATCGTCTAGGTGTAAAATTTTATGTCCGCTCCTTGAGCGTTAAGCATGAGTGAGGGGTGCTCTCACGTATCAGGACCGAACATAAACTATTAAAACTGAACGTGAAATTTTAATGCATATATGCAAGCAGTACTAACTTACAATAAAATATACTACTGAAGCTGAGAAATATGTAGGTAAACTAACTTACAAATTAGCCGTTTGAAATACAAAGTAACTTCATCAAGCACTTTTTGCACTTTGACTTTTAAAGGGTTTTAGTGAGCAAAAACATCAAAGAACTTAGAAGTTTGATTAAAATTGCATTATTACCCTTTGTTCTCTGCACAATCGACATTTTCTAAGATGCCTTGAAGTGTCGCCGAAAACCACTAGCTTAGGTACTATCGATACCACAAAATTTCTAGATAGCTATGTTGATGAATATACTTTCTACCAATCAATTTTTGAAGTATAGCTTCAAGCAACTATAGAAATGTTTTTCCTTCTTTTTATCTGTTATGATTCCAGGTATGAGAGTAAAATTAAGTAGCGCATGGTCATGGTCTATCTTTTGATTAACACTGCAGAAGGGAAATTGATTCTTAGCATCTATCGAACTCTTTCTTTTCTTACATAATTCTTTGCGAGTCCAATGATAGAAGAAATTTTGCCCAGGTAGGTCTAAAAGACTTCACTTAATGGGAATAAGTACCTACTTTTGTTCTTTTCTATATCCAACTTAGTTGTTAATTAAAATGTAGAGTTTCATCGATAAGTCACTACTGAACTGCATCACTAATTGGGGGTTACTTTACAAATTAAAAAATGAAATAGCCACGACCGGTCAGGTGGGGTTCAGTAGTTTAGACTTTGTAATTAGTTAATTAAAACTTGACGGTTATTCCTGTTCTTTTTGGAATGAAATGCCTATCGCTTATTAAACTTTGTTTTTGTTAGGTTCCAATTTAAAATTGGTTAAATTTTGCGTAAGACAAATAATTATTTATTTAGGTATCAAGTATTTTACATAATATGGCGGATACTGCCTAAATACATAAAATCAAAACTAAATTATCTCTCTCTAATGTACTTACTGATTTGTGGCTTATATCGCTATGTAGTGCAATCGCAATTCATCAACAGTGTGCCTACCATGAGTTTACGTTAGGTGTGCTCGCTAGCGACTGCGTAAAAAATGACATTTAAATGTATGACATATTGTGCAGCGCCCCTAGCGGCTACTTTCAAGAAATAAAATCTTCATAGAATTTTTTGACGTATTCGCTAGCGAGCTCACCTAACGTAAACTCATGGTAGGCACACTGTACCTAATTCAAAACCGGAATCTGCTGTACAGTCAGCTTCATAATTAAGTAACTAACCCATTACACGTTATCTTATTAGCTTCAGCTAGTATGTATGTACTTAATCTGTGGTTTCAGCTAAATTTTACCTCAGGGAAAAGAAGGCACTTTGTAACGTCATAAATAAAGCCTGTACTGTCAGCTGTATTAAATGTCAGCTTACCTACTTTCAATGAAGGTTTCCTATTAATGTGTCTTTTTATTAATGTTTATGCGGAGGACTGTACAAGCCATCACATTGGTTTGATTTCAGCAAACATAGCATTTGCATACGGCATGCTAATTTCTAATGCGATTATCGTGCAGTGCAGAATCAGCGATTGTGTTAGAACTTGGGATTTATTAACATTTCAATGGATCTAATTCTAAATTCTACCAGATTTTCCTGAAATTGATTCAGCTGTGACCAGTTCTCTTTGCTTTTTCCA